TAATTTTTTTTCAAGTATTAAAAATCTTCTCTCCCCATAATTTTATAATAGTCATCTAATACTCAAGTACCTAAACGCCAACAAAGCAACTGGAAAGGAAGCAAGAGTTTTCAATATCTGTCATAAAAGGTGAGGTTCCTTGTTACATGTTCTGAATAACGTGTAGATCATGCATGGTTTTTGCTAAAGTAAAAAAAAAAAATCCTTTCTAAGAATCATAAAGAAAGCAAGGAGAAAGCTAAATTTTCCACTAGCTATATTGGCCAGATCTGCTGAATGAATTATGCACAGGACAATGAAACTCCAGAAATGACAGTCTTTGAACTCCAAAGTCCTCACCTGAAATAAAGTATCTGCTAGCCTACCCAGCCAGAATGTGCAGACTCAGAGAAAATGGTCTATTTATCCAGCTCAACGACAATCAGTGATTAGAAAGGCAGCATCTGCTCTAAGTGCAATGGTCAACAGCAGAGGAGACAATTTTTAGGGGGGGGGGGGAGGATGAAATAGCAACGAGCAGTGAAGTGACTACTAAGGAACCTTCTGAGCAGCAGAAGCTTGAGAGCAAAGACCTACAATGATTCAAGGGAGCTACAGTGTAAGAGAGATCTCCCTTACTCACATCTTCTTTCCCCAGTGGGGATGAGGAAAATTAGTTTCAAGTAGCTGCCAGCAGCAATCTGACAGCCCTCTCCTCGGATGGGGGTAACCTCCTTGGCAGCCAGACTCCCTAGGTGTTAACCTATCCCTTGCAAGTCAACTTCATCCTGCAGCTGACTCCCAGGAAGCCACCTCTTCAGCACGTTTCCCTTGGCATGCTGCTTTTATGAACTCTCAAATCTTATCTGCCCTCCAAGGTCACCTACTCTGGAGCTCAGAGGCACATGCAGGTTTTGCCTCTTCCATCTTCAGAGAAGCAGCAGCTAGTGGGGGCAGTCTCTGTCCCTTCTTCGACCTCCTGACTGGGCCATCCTGCTACTTTCTCCCATGCTTTTTCTTCTGATCTTGTAGGAAAAGCACCCATCCACTTGGGGAATGGATTGTCACTCTCCTTTCCTGCAGACATTCTACATTCTCCTAGTGTTTCTCTGCAGTGCTCCTCCCGTGGCTTCAGAGGGAGATGCCCTCCACCTTCTCACCACTACTTATGTTAAGGTGGTGGTGTGTGTTAGGACAGTTCTGCAGAACTGGCAGTTCTCAGAAATTCTTCAGGGAGGTGGTTGGCCCCAGGGAACTTAAGGAAACAGTTTCTTAATGCCTTGTGTTCTCAACTCTGGGCCCCAGTTGTCAAGTGTAAGAAAGCAAGTTCCCACTTAGCAACTAACATTAAATTGTTACATATATTTGTGTGTACATATATATCATAAACACAATAAATACACACACAAAAACCTCCCATTTCCTTTTACTTAATGTTCTATTTTATACCTTGCTTTTTAAGTTTTATAAGGCCAACCTCCTTCATAATGCCAAGTACTTTCAGCCCAACTGTGGCTCCAGCAGTAAATTCTTAGGGATCTAGCCAACCCTGGTAGTCCTTGCCCACTCTCTGCTGACTTGTTCAGACATGGGCATGTGAAGCAGCTGTGGCCTCTGAGCTCCCAAGGAAATGACAGTTGGGCCAAAGGCCCTGTGGAAGAGTTTCCTTGTTCTTAAAACCATGCAAATGAACAGATTTTTTCCTCCTCCTCTGCAGGTGCTGTCTGGAGCTTCTGCACCATCCTACAACCATGAAAGGCAGAGGGACTTTTCTGAGGACAGAAGTGCTGATGTACTGAGAATGCAAAGTAGAACATGACAAGAACAAGTGTTCTGGTCTCAGGAGTTAGTCAATCTTGATAATGTAAACCGATCATTTTTATTATTGTTTCATCCATTTAATATTGGATTCTTTTCTCCCATAAAGTTGGAATAAGGCATCACTGTAACACAAATAAATACAAGATGATCTAATTTGTTTTTTTTTTTTTTCACTTGGCTGAACACTAATTTACTCAACCTGTTTCCCTCTTGATGGGCACCTAGATTATTTCCAGTCTTGTCAAGCAATGCTGGAGGGAACATACTTATTCCTATCTTTGTATAAATGATCAAGATAAGCCATAGGATAAAGTCTCGGGAGTCAAACAGCTGAGTCAAAGGGCATGTGCTTCTTGATTTCAAAGGAAGACACAATTACCCTCCAAAGAGGTCATACCAATTAGACTCTTTCTCCACATCATTACTATTACCAAATACATTTCATTTCTACAACACTAAGTGATGAATTCCCTTTCCTGTTTTCTTTTGTACTTGAAAAATCATAAAAAAAAGAAAAAAGAAAAATCATCAGTGAAACTCAAAGTATTTTCATCTGTTTAAAAGCTTCTTGCAATTTTTAAATGACCCTTCCTATGAACCTAATGAATTCCTTCTTTATAGATACATCAGGAGACATTACAGATGACGCTCAAAGAAAGCAATATGGAGTGGATTTACTTCCTAAAAGGAAACAAACGATGAAGTATAAAAAGTGAGGTCAGGTGCATATATTTACCCATCGAAGTGACACAACATGAAAGGACATTAACATGCCCTTAAAACTGTAAAAGGGGAAAAGTTTTAAATTACTCCAGCAGTACATTTTGGAAACTAATCTCATCTGGAGACTCACAAGAACTGAGGAAAACACACCACCAATGATGGTGAAATCTGCAGCATTTTCAGGCTGCAAGCTTTCCAGCATGATCTGATCCCCAGCTACAATCAGCAGAGGGTCACAGCAGCTGTGTCTCTGCTCTGATAGCCAGGAACACTGTACTACTTCAAGACCATTGTCACAGGACTTCTCCAGCCCCTTGTTATCCAGGACAAAGCATTAGTCTTATCATAGAAGACACTAATGTTTTCTAGAATCTCTTCATGCAATATTTATAAGTGTCTATAAGGGGAGGAGAGCAAAAAAACCAAAACCACCTTACCTCGGGGGCCTAGTAATGCCTTGAAATAGGTACTAAGTGATGCATCAAAATTTTCCATTTTAAAACCTATTAAGAAAAATAGACATTGATTAATCTCTACTCAAAATGCTTTTTATACAGTTTTATCATAAAAGAACAAGAACAAACCTTTTCAAAGGATATACTACAGACAAGGTTATGTGGAACCTTTTTTTTTTTTTAAAACTCTCCAAGTAACTTGTGTGCTAGGTCTAATTTGAAAATCACAGGGAATACAGAATCCCGTGAATTCACTTTATAAATGAAGTGCCAGTTTTCTGAACTTCTTTTTCACAGTTCCATAAAAATGCCTTCCGCGAAGCTGGAATCTCAGTGGAGAAAAGAGTGGAACTGGACTGAGAAAGGTGGCAGACGGGAGAAGATCCCATCTGGGCAAGAACCAAAGCTTGAGGTAAGCTTGTCTGTAGCCAAGATAGGATGAGCCATGTTGGAGAAAGGAAGTCCACAGTGAGGAGATGGTTTCCTCTGCTTGCTATTTCATTAAATATTATTTAAAGATATTTCATGTCCATGGTAAAAAAAAAAAAATCAAATATTAAAAACGAAAAGAGGCGCTAAAACCAAAAATCTCATTGCTTCACCCCAACCACAATTCCAAAGCCCCACTGTCAGAAGGAACCTGATGGTAACATTTCTTGGACATACCTCGAGATTTTTCTCTTCTGAGCACAAACGGCATCATGCCAATGGGTCTTAAAATTGTGGATTTCAACCCACTACTAGATGATTAGGTCAACTTAGCATTAAAAAAAAAATTACAATAATAATAATCAGTGCTTTACCCTAATGAGAATGAATATTTTCATAAATCTTTCATAATATGTTACTGTATCATATAAGTATGATATATGTAAGTACAATGTACTCTGTTGTGATATAAAATATATTCTTACTATGGAGGCTGCAGTAAGATAACAAACAGAAAACAATGTTATATCAAGAAGAGTACATATTACTTACTTGCTTTCACTTAAAACATCTTGGAGATATAATCTTCTATCAGTATTATAGATTTACCTTCATCTTCTAAGATTTTATAGCTCCTCACATTTGCCCCCATTTAAGATTTACATTTACAGTACAGCTAAGCATCTTTTCATATGCATATTGACTAGATTTTCTATATTAAAGTTAGAAAGTATATATTTTCAATTTTCCTCGTCATTACTCTTAATAGAAATAACCACAAATATTTTTCTTTCCCTCGGCAAAGGCAAAATTGGTTTTATTAACTAAGTAAGCTGTTAATCATTTAATGACACTTCTCTTCCTTGGCTTACCACACCGAAGTATATGTATTGTTTGGCTAATTTCATGGATAAACTTTATCCATGGACTCTAGTAGTCAATGATGTCGATCCAGCCTACAGTGAGACAGAGACAGGTGGAGCCATCAAGAACACTTTGAAAGAAGTAGTTACCAGTCTTCTGTTCTGACATCTATCCTTCCCCCCAGGGGTGGGAGTGGGGTGACTCCTTCAACCCATGGCTGGAAACCAGAAACCCACCAACTTCCACACATCCAAGTGCCAACAATTATACACAATCACAGTGCTATATCACTTCTGAAATTCCAAAATTAAACAGCTTTTTAACATACTGCACTCCTAAGACCATTCTGGTCCTGATCCATTTTCCTGCACCAGACTAAACCTCTTCAGGGGACAGAAATTCTAGAAAATCTCAAGAATTGGTTAAGCTTTACTACACTCCCTAAGCAGAACTCCTCTTAAAATGGGTACCATCTTTAAATAAGAAATGCTTTATCTATTAAAAGTCCTACAGTTAGGGACCCCTGGGTGGCTCAGCGGCTTAGTGCCTGCCTTCGTCCCAGTATCGAGTCCCACATCAGGCTCCCTGCATGGAGCCTGCTTCTCCCTCTGCCTATGTCTCTGCCTCTCTCTCCCTCTGTGTCTCTCATGAATAAATAAAATAAAATAAAATCCTTAAAAAAATAAAAATAAAAGTCCTACAGTTAAAAAACAATTCAACCATACCTAATTATTTTTTTCATCATCTACTGAAGATCATCTAGAACACATAAGTTTTTAGAAGACAAACATCATGTTTCTGTGAAATTGAAATCACTGATACAATTTAACTTTATCCACGTATATGGAGGTCAGGGATTCCCCTTCACCGTCAACAAAAAGCAAACAGGCATAAGGAGGAGCAAGGTTATAAACACCTTGACTACTGGACTGATGACTAATGGACAAGATGCCCATGGGGGGCAAATCCACTTTCTTCCAAAACATTTTAAATCTAGATTCTGCTTTTACTTAATGGGTATACAGCTTACTAACGGATCATATTACACATATAAAAATCAGGTATTAAGTACAAAGGAGCTGAGAGCAGGTATACAGGCATAACAGGCCAGCAGGGGATTAGGTGGCTAAGTGCTGGGCTCTTTATCAGACCACTTGGGTTTGAAACCCATTTTGTCCACTTACTAGCAATGTGACTCTGGACAAGTTATTTAACCTCATATCTGTAAAATGGTGGCAAATGTAGAGGAATTACTTCAAAGGTTAAGAAGATCAAATGATTTAATACACATACAATCCTCAGAGCTGTGCCAGCATGCAATAAGCCCTCAATAACAGTTTCCTGCTGTATGTATGCAATGAGTTCAACTATGAAGTTGAGAAATACTGCCAACCATCTGTGGCCCCTCGTGCTTCTTAGCAGGGACACTGCAGAGTTCTACCCCTGGCCCATGTACTTACTCAATGCCATCAACGAGCCCCCAGTCATCAAGATAACCCACCCACGCATTTCCGGTGGTGATGACCTCCCCACGAGAACATGCCTCTTGCGAAGGATCTCCTGCACCCGTCCCCAGAAGAGGAGAAGAGGAAGCACAAGAAGAAGCGCCTGGTGCAGAGCCTCAACTCCTACTTCATGGACGTGAAGTGCCCAGGATGCTACAAAATCACCACCATCTTCAGCCACGCACAGACGGTAGTTCTGTGTGTCGGCTGTTCTACTGTCCTCTGCCAGCCCACGGGAGGAAAAGCAAGGCTTACAGAAGGATGCTCCTTCAGGAGGAAGCAGCACTAAAAGCTCCCTGAATCAAGATGAGTGGGACACTATCCCAATAAACAGATTTTGGATAAAAAAAAAAAAGATAACCCACCCACAATGTTTTCTTCAATGTCCCCCACGAAACAGCAATGGAGGGTGGGTGAACTGATAACATCACATGAGAGAGGGGCTGATCAATATGAGGCATTATCTAAAGATGGAAGACAAGGCTAAAACGAATGTAGTAATGAACTACATAAACATCAAGCACCTACTGTGTACAAAGGATTGCTGAGCAGGGATAAACACAAAAGGAGCATACCTAGACACCTAGAACAAACTAGACATTTACAGTGCGGAAAGAAACCAGATGCTGGGCAGCCTGGGTGGCTCAGTGGTTTAGTGCCGCCTTCGGCCCAGGGCGTGATCGAGTCCCATGTTGGGCTCCCTGCATGGAGCCTGCCTCTCTCTCTGCCTGTGTCTCTGCCTCTTTCTCTCTCTCTCTCTCTCTCTCTCTCTCTCTCTCCCTGTCTCTCATGAATAAATAAAATCTTTAAAAAAATTTTAAAAAATAAACCAGATGCTATAACGTAAAAACAAAACCAAAGTCACCCAGCAAATGAGTAGACATTAGAATGATACATACAACAAACTGTATAATTAATACTAAGCTGTAAAGTTAATATTCAAATCATTAGGAAAACACCTGACAAAGCAATAAGGGAATCATTCTAAGTTTTAACCAAGAGGTCTTCCTGAGGAGCTATAACCAGTTTTGTTTTGTTTTTTAAATGTAAGGAGGATACAGAAAAGGTGGAAATAAGTTAAAAAAGATAAAGTAGAAAATGAAAAGGAACTGATCTGTGGGATGGAGTTGGGAGGTGGGCAGAATGTGAGTGGTCTTAGAAAAAATTAGCCCCAGGAACCGGTATAGCGACCTAGGAATAATGTCTAGGACATCATTCAATTTGAGAATCTAGGCTAACATCACAGTAACAGAAAAGCAGCTTGATTAAACATAAGGTAAAATTTTAGTCCAAGAATCCTGAAGCCAACAGCAGGTTACCAAAAGAAACTGTGAAATTTAGTATTTGGAGATATTAAAGAATTCTGTTACAAGCCATCTGTCCTGAGTATTCCCAGTCTAAACCCATCCTGAGCAGAGGCCCTTGGAAGCTGGCAGGCACAGGAACACTCTTGTGACTAAGATGGAACATCTCTACAAAAGCATACACACAAGACGTGATTTTCCTCGGTAAGAGCACATCTGTTCTTAGACTGCATTTCTCTTTCACTTGAGAATTCTTGTCTTAGTTTGGCAGAACTTATCACAAGCAAACTTAGGAACACAAGGGTGGCTTGGTGGTTGAGCATCTGCCTTTGGCTCAGGGCATGATCCTGGGCTTCTCCCTCTGCCTATGACTCTTTCTCTGTGTCTCTCATGAATAAATAAATACAATCTTTAAAAACAAAACAAAACACTTTAGGAACATATGAAACAGCTAGCAAAACATACCCTGAAAGAACATATACGGAGAATAACAAGAGAGTGGCGTGTTACTCTCGAAATGTCTATAGTGAAAGGGGAGAAAAGATGGTACACAGGTCCGCAGTCAGTGGAGTCCAGATCTGTGAACCACAGGCCTGATTCTGGGCTGCACTCTGACACGTTAAATGCTTCCCCCAAACTCCCCCTCTACCACACTCACAGCTGGATGCGTACTGTAACCCTGTCAGACATAGGTGTTTGTTTTCACACAGGTTACCAAGAGACAGTCGCCAAAGGTTTACTTTCATCGTTTACTCAGCATAAGCTCACGTTTCTGTCTAGCCAGCCATGTATCCAACACCCCTCTGTACCATGTATTCACTTTCTCACACATGTCGTGCACTTCCCAAGTGCCTACTATGTGCCAGGCACGTAGGCGCTGAGGGATGCAGCAGGGAACGAGATGAAATTCCAGGCTGGCAGAGAGACATGCACCTATAGTATCTGTTATGTAAACTGACTGTCAGTAAGAAAGTAATACAGCAGGGGTGGGGTGGGATCATGAAGCATGATGTACTCTGGAAAATATAGTTAGAGAATGCAGCCCCAAGAAGGTGACAAGAGAACAGATACCTGAGAGGGGCAGAGCATCAAGGCAAAGGATATACCAGTTAGCAGAACAGGTGAATACAAGGGCCCCAAGGCCAGTGGGTGCTTGGCATGCTCCAAGGCCACGGGGTGGGGGGGGGGAGGTGGTAGTGGATGGCAAGTATGGGAGTCCTCCTGTCCTCCACTCCCTGCCTAGCACCCAGAGCTCACTCGGTAGTGGTCCACAGAAAGCAACCACATGGCACAACTTGCAGACAGCATGTGGCCAAAAGGCGGGGAAGAGAAGATGCCAAGCCTTAATTGCTCTCACTGCCACTGTCCCCTCATCCTCCTGACTGCAGCCTGCTTGCCAGCACCATGCCCTTTTTCTCCTCATCTCCCTTGCTGAGCCGTAGGCATATGACAAAAGGTTTCAGCAAATTAATTCTTCACTGCCAGGCGGGGCTGGCCCACCCTACTGGGTGAATCAGACACATGCTGAGTGGCCTGTGGGCCCGGCTCTACTCTTTTGTACTTTTCTAAAGGAACAGGAGAAGCAAAGGGCCCTGCAAAAACCCTTGACACTCTGCCTAGTGACCTGCAATCATGGGAACAGTATGACCCACTTTGCACAAGACATTCAACCATATTGCCAGGTCTGTGGCCTGCCTGATTGCTGCAGTGCCTCCCTCTTCTAGGCTGCCCGTGGGCCAGAGATATTACTTCTCAACAACCTGAGTCACCGTACCGGCAGCTCGGGCAAGCCAGGCCAAGTGGGAACACAGCTGCTCTGTACAATTGTACTAGCAGGGACCAAGCCCAGGCACTGGGCCCATGGTAGAAGAGCTTTGGTCTTAAATGAAGAAAAGAACAAGTCATTCTTTGATCTGGCCAGGAAAGGGGGTGGTCAGGACCTCCCAGGAACCAGATCATACTGACACTAGGCCAAACATCGCTTCCCTATCTTCCATAATGCCAAGTCTCTGATGCCCTCTCAACCTTACAGGGCTTCCCAGAATTACAGGCCACGATGGGAATAGGATCTGTCAAAAAAAAAAAAAAATCCAAGCATAACAGTATTCAAAGTATTCACTAGTTCACAGGCCACAAAAAAAAGATAATGACATTAAAAATGGGAAAAGGATAGACATCAGAGACAGGTAACTTAGAATAGAATTTAGGGGCTCAGTTGGTTAAGTATCCCATTCTTGATTTCAGCTCAGGTCATGCTCTTAGAGCCGTGAGACTTAGCCCTGTGTCAAGCTCCGTCCTGGTGTGGAGCCTGCTTAAAATTTTCTCTCCCCCCTCCCCACCCCCTCTAAAAAAAGAACATATTTTATTTTTAAAAAAGATTTTATTTATATTTATTCATAAGAGACACGGTGAGAGAGAGGCAGAGACACAGGCAGAGGGAAAGGCAGACTCCCTGCAGGGAGCCCTATGTTGGGGGGCTTGATCCCTGGACCTGGGATCTGGGATCATGACCTGAGCCGAAGGCAGACAGATGCTCAGCCACTGAACCACCCAGGTGCCCCCGGAAAGAACTGATTTTAAAGAATTCCTCTTTTATGCACATTTTCCAAAAGACAGTTGAAAGCTGCCTCTTGCTATCAAATTCTAGAGTGTTTGCGGTAACCATGTAACTATTATAATTGTGCCTCACCGCAAGTATCTAAGAAAATTAATTAATGAGCTGGGAGCCTGACAACGTGGGGGTGGATCCCAGAACTCCGAGACCATGACCTGAGCTGAGGTCAGTTACTTAACCCACTGAGCCACCCAGGTGCTGCGAATCACATGTTAATTCCACGTCCTGCAGCAAGTTCCTGCCGCCACACATACTAAGAGTGGTAGGACTGAGGTACACGTGAAGCCTGAATGCAAGAGAAACATCAGAACTACCACGGCCTGAAATGCAGAAACCTGACCGTACTGATGCAAGCAGAACACAGAAGGGCAAAACCTCATCCTTCAGAGAGAGCCCTGCTCATGTGGAAAATCTGTCAGCTCCCTCCAGGAAGAGTATGTCCAGGTGAATCATCTGTGTGAGGTTAAATAACCATTAGTGGTGTTCTCTTTGATCTATTATCAAAAAGAGTTTGCTGGAGGCTTGTTCAAAAGAGATAAATAAAAAGACACCACACTAAGCTTTAAGCAAATCAGTTGCACCCCCCCAGCTTTCCATCTGGCACCCAAGAGGGACCACAAAATGTGAGAGAATGGGAGGGGGTGACAATAGAAGGGTGCTGGGGTTAACGAGAGATGGCGTAGAAAGTTGCTTCCTTCACAGCTCTCAAGAGGAGTTTTTGGTCTCGCTGAGAATGCAAATGCTATCATCTTGGCTGTTTATATCTGCAGCAGGACAAGGGGGAAGGCTGCTCAGAGGCTGAAAAGTATGAAGATCTTAGGGCAAATCTGTTTTAAAAGACATCAAGATTTTAAAAAAATTTTTGCTATAGTGAAGAAAGTTAATTTCCTAAACTCACAAGCAGTAACGATCTCTGGGGTCAAGTCTTGGCTTTGCTTGCTGCTACGGCCATGGTAGGAGGCAGTGGGCAGTTTGCTGTGAAAATCAGTTAAGTCACATGGCCTTTGGCTTACAGATGTGTTTACTGCAGATATTTAACTACTGTTTAGTAGAACTTCCTCATCATATGCTGTTTTATGCTTTGAATGGTCACAATTCATCTAAAAATGAGTCAACTGAGCTGACGAGCTACGAGGGGTCAGGATGAAATCTGCCTCCACTTTCTCTTCTCCTACCCATTCATCTCTTTAACAGTCAACTTGTGTTAGGCAGGCATGGGAACATTCTTCAAGTTGGCTGCCAATAACACAAAACATTAAATAGTGCTTTAATTTGGGAGTCACAACACTCTTTCCTGAATTTAAAAAGATTTTTCTAGGTTGGAGAAAATCAGCTCCAGAATGAGAGGAGGAACGTAAACCATACCTTGCTCAGAAATGTCAAAATATAAAATATAAAAAACACTATCATAAAGACCATGAGGGGAATGATATCTAAATGCTAGCAAGCTTTCAGATACGAAAGTAAACTGACAACAGAATTCCTTTAGAATGCTGGCATTTAAAAAAGTGATAACTCTGGATTAAATAAATCTTGGCTCGAGAGACACTATCTGCCACATCAGCACTGTTCACTCTGCCAACCCACGAATCTATGCTGCTGCTTTTTTCCCTGCAGGA